TTAATACATACTTTAATTTAAAATATTTTTTGAACATTTATATACTTTAATTATTAAAATATAAATAAAACTAATTTAATTATTTTTACATCAGTACATGTTACATACATAATTATATTGTTTATTTTTAATTTTATATTAAAAATAATAATTTTTTAATAAATATTATAAAATATAATAAATAAAAAAATATATCAAGATCATACATATATATATATATATATATATCAGTCAATATATTTACTTATTCTAACTCGTTTATTGAGTCAAGCCATCACAATAGGGATTACGAATTGAAGAGCTTCGCTTAGAGAAATAAGAGCAATATGTACGTATTCTATCGTATAATAGGTGGGTCAAAGGTGCATAGTAGTCCCAAAATTATTGAGTTCAAGGAAATCACCACTTGATTTGCTAGCCTATAATCCAGGGGTGGCGTTTTGAAAAAAATTATAGAAAGGGTAAAAAAATTTGAGGGTTCAGGTAACTAACAAAATTTGTAAAGGATTAACTGAATATAAAATAAATTTTTTAATTTATATTATATACCACAGTTTAAATTTAAATTTTTTTAAAAATAGTTATTGACTTATTTGGATTCCTGCCAATAAAACACTCATTAAAACTAAAAAACTTTAAAAAATTGTGGGGCCATGGCCCCCTGCTCATCTTCATTATCCTCAGTCCTTGCCTAAGATTGACCTTGAAAATGGTCAGTCCAATGCCCAATCCCAATTTCAAGGGCACCCAAAGTGAACGCATGTCAGCTTTTAGGAGTTAGGACTAAATTTTTTTGTCATATCTATTTTATTTTGTTGGTTTTAAAATGACTGTTATATGTCAACTTTTTCATAAATTAAAATTTTAAAAATAATGTATGTGCAGTATAATATTTATTTATTTATTTATATCACTTTAAAATAATGATAAATTTTATTATATAAAGTACAAAGAGTATTTTTGTTCAAAAATAAAGAAAAAATTTTAATAATAAAATAAATAATTAAAATTTAAAAATAATTATAAAATTAAAATTAAAATATTTTTAAAAATTAATTTTAAAATAAAATTTAAATTAAAAATATAATTATTTTAAAACAAATAAGTTATATTTTTAAGACCTTCACGTGTTATCGGCACAAATTGAAATTGGAGCTCGTTTTTTATAGTCAAAAGGATGTTGTGGGTCAATGACGTAACGTAGGGTTGATCGAACAATGTTGTTTGACCTAACTCACCACTTGATATTAGATTTCATGAAGGCAATAATAACAATGAAATCCACTTGCACATGAATCCTTTTCTTTCCTTATCTACAAATATTAGTTTTTGGTAAGCTCCTTTTTGGTGAGAAAGTGCAAGGAAAATGTGATATCCATGAACGATAAGATTCTTGACCCAATAAAAAAAGAAAATCAAGAAAGGTCAAATATTAGCAAGAAAGTTTCAAGGAAGCTTCTTTTGTCATGAACGCTGATTCCTAGCAAGACAATACATTCAAGGTCATTGCCCATCTTTGATTTGATTGCACAGTCTCAATCTTTTACTTTCATTCATACAAATAATATATTATACTAAGCCAAATAATTTACGTAAACTCTTATGCGACAAAAATTTGTGTCTTTTTCATTTATCTGATTAGTGATTGAATTTAGAGAAATGAACATCTAATTTAATATATTTATTGATTTAATTATTAAAATTTATAGTTAAAAATTATATCTTCTTAAATATTTTAAATTTAAAAATAAAATTTTTTAATAAATATATTATAAAATATATCAAATTCATTAACAGACTAATTAATTGTTGTCTTTAAATTTCATATCTTCAATTTTTATATAATATTTAAAGTTTTGAATTGTTAATATGTTATTTAAAAGTGTCTTAATTAATAAAAACTTAAAATTTTAACTTAAAAATTTTAAATTTGAAATCTCAACCAAAATTTTGAAAAAGAGAATATTATTCTTTACTAGTATCATACATATATGTTAAAATAAAATAATGATAAATAAAATTTAAAATTAATAACGTAACATCAAGTATGTTGTTTAAAATATTAAAAAATAAATAATATATTATTTAATGCTTGACTCTGTTTTTGAGACTT